CTATGATACCCCACAAACTTCTGCCCCTTATTTTTCTGTTACATCAAATGATGTCCCCAATACTCACAGGGGACAAAACCCAGCAGAAAAGTAACTTCCTGCTGAGCGTGCGATTGTTAGCCCATGGGCAGGGGTGAAACTCCTGCCACACTTGAGCTGTACAACTAAATGAGTGTCACCCAAGAACAGACCTGCCCCATGCAAGAGTCTGCATCAGACCGTGGTTTACCCTTGTCCTTTTAACCTCTCACTCTCAAAATGCCATCTGAGCAGGTCTGGCTGTGCCACCCATACCTCAGCAGCAGTCCTCCACATGCAGTCCCGCTGCCTACCAACATCACTGGCTGCAAAAAGGGCTTCACTGATGCTTGTGTCCAAGCAGTGCATCCCAGGATTCTTTAAACATAACTATCTGGGTTCTGCCATCCTACCAGACACCATTAACCATAGTGAACAGCATGGAGAAGGGCAGCAATGAGTCTGAGCTGGTCCAGACTAGTCCCAAGCCCACCACAGGGGCTTCAAACCCATTCAATTGTACTATGTGGAAGCCAATTAGCAATCAACTCAAAAACAAACGGAAAGATATCCCATGTTAATTCTCCCAGGATGCACAAGTTTAATTTTTCAGTATTTTATTATTAATTTTGAAAAGTATTTAAATAGAAAACAACAAGCTGAACTTTGTAATAGAAATCTCATTACTTTCCAGTAAGAAGTTACCTTGTGGGTGCTGGTTTATTTTCCCATATATGGTATTCCCTTTTACCTAATCAACAGCTTGGAGCTCTGTGACAGCAGCTATCTTTGATAAAAGGAGTATTCTGATGAGGGAGGAAGGTATCCAACACTTGCATGACTTGCATCAAATATATTTATTTATGCTGTGGCCACAGTAATCAAGAGGTATTAAAATGTGGAATGAAGCATCAGTTAAGTGCATTTTAAATCTGATTTTTCCCTGGTTGCAGTAAGGAAATTGTTGACTAGCAGGACTCTTTAGGGTATTTACAGGCTGCAGTTAGTGATGCAGATACAGAAGATAAATTGCTCCACTCCTGCTAAAGCAAGTCTTACTTTTCCAAGTAATAGTGGGCCTTTCATTTTAGCACTTAAAATTTGATCAAGTGAGAAAAAAAACATTAATATAATTCCACTCACTCCCAGATAAATTTCTCTGAAAAATGAGGATATTTCTTTTCCTTAAACAAATCTGACAAGGCTATAACTAAAAATATTTTTGTAACACACAGAGTTCAGTATGAACACCGGAAAACAATTGGCAAGAGCAATTGGAGTGTCTAATCCCAGCTATTTAGCTACCAAAATGCTTCAAGAGCTGTGATACATCCACTTAAAAGCCAAATATGGCACACAAATAGCTATTAAACATGAATGAACTTATCAAGAAGCAACAGTATGTTCCCATTAATCGTACAAAGGCTGCAAAGAGGTGAAAAGAAAGATCTTTCTACAGCATCTGATCAGAAGTGACTTACGCTGACACCAATTTAATTTATAACAAAATCAAGGCAATAAACTAAAGGATCACATTAGCAGTTAGTAATGCTACAGGAGATATCAGTGAAAAGCTAATGAAATGAACAGAGCCTTAAAACAACTTGATATTTTTTAACACTGACTTGAAACTGGCTACTGCAAAGACACTATCAGAGGGTACTTGGACATCCTCGCTAGCAACTTTCAGACAACTTTTAAGGCTCCCTAAGGATGCTCCAAGGAAATTTAAGAAGGCAATTTTATACACAAATGCTGTCTAGATTGGTGTATCACTTACCAAACCTGCAAAGTTTAATCTCCGAAAGAACTCCTACCTCTGCTGTGCTTGACCACATGGAAGGCAAAGAGATTTAAGCTTGTTTGGTCTATGGTTGATGGAGACTTTCTAACAGAAATGGAAACTGGATGATAAGCAGCTAATAAGCTGCTCCCAGAGTTTCCCTTGCTTTGAGAAGGGTGAAGGGACTGGGAGATTTCGGAACAGATTCTACAAACAAGCTGTTAAGAAAAGCCGCTATCCAGAAGGCTCGACAGGAGGAAAAAGGAAGCAGGGAAATCACAGTTAATGGGATTTGGCTGCATCCAAGAAACAGCTAGGTTTCAAATACATTACAAATAGTCCTGCACTTCACTGCTGTATCAATTCATTGCTGGATGAGAAAACTGTACAAATTTTAAAGCTCCACAGAAACTTAGATTGATCTGTTTAGAACAAATCTTGTCTCTCCCCTGAAATGCCCTCTGGATGAACACATGACAAAGAGGAAATTGCCACCACTACACTGTAATTTCTATATTTTTCTGTTGGGGGGAAGGCAGGCTATGGATTTATTTATTTTGAGGTTATTTCCTAAGCCCCATAAATGGATGCTAGTCTCATTCACCTTAGATATCACTGCAGAGTACTATAAAGTTTGCCTAAATTTTCCAAGGGAGACATCACGATCCTGTCCCATCAAAAAGATAATGTGACATCAAACAGAGTTACCTTTCTCCTAGTGCATGTCTCCTTGGCACAATATAAGGAGGTTGAGCAACCTCAGCAGGAGGTTCTCAGTGCCTCCCTTCCCAAACCTTGGTGGGGACCTCCTGCTCATCCTCCAACCTAGGAGGGAGAGAATTAGTAGTTTAAAGCTACTAATTGAAAGCAAAATTGCCATAGACAATGTCCTCTACCTTTGCAAACCGATGCCACCCACAAGACGTGATTCAACACGTATGAACACCATACTTATCCCTCCTCAGATCCCAAAGGAGGCAGTGCCACAGTATGTGCCAGGAGGGAAGAGGCCAGCAGCAGAAGAGAAATTTCTAGTCTAGTCATGAGACAGACAGAAGAATGGAAATTATAGGAGAAGTGAGATAAAAGAATTAGGGGGCTGATAGCATCAGTGCACTTTAAGAAGAAGGAGAGGAAGTTGAGCGGCTGTGAAAGAGGGGGAAGGAAGAGTAAGGCTGATTTTCCCGATAGACAGGTCATAAACAGTTCCCGAAACCTGCCTAATTGGGCTGGTTGTCTGACGTACAGATGCAAAAAGCAACACATGTGGCATATTTGAAGCGGAAAAAGGAGACGTTGAGGACTGGGGCACTCTGTAGGGGAATGAACGACCTACAAGTCTTTTAAGTGCCATAAATAGATAAGGCTAGACCTTTCAACCAATAATGAATGTGAATAGTTAAAAAAGAATTTTGCAGAATTGTCCACTAAGACAAAAATCTTAAAAACTGGCTCTTCACAAATAATTTTTCTTTTGGAAATCCCACACCCACTGCTGAAAGATTAGCTTTATAAAGTGAGAATTTAACTGGAATTGCAGCTCTGGGTAACAACAGGAAATATTGCTCACAGCAACAGAAAATGTAGGATGATTAGGTTTTTGGGGAAAAAGGGAAAGAAAGTTACAGTAACTATGCAAACAGAATAAATAACAGTGCTGTTCTTCTCCAGGACCTTTCCAAGGATCTCAGAGCATCTACAGGCTGCTGTGCTATGGCCACAGCTTATTGCACCACCTAGGTCCCAAGCCTGGCTGTACTTCTCATCTTCATAGCTCTGTCCCTCTGCTGATCCTCACACCAGACATCAGCTGATGGTCAGGGACCCCATGGGGGGTTTGTGCCCTGCAGGATCCCAGCTGGGACTTGGGGCGTTGCCAAGTGCTCCTTGTACATAAGTAGCGAGGGAGCCCCATCAAAAGACAGACAAGACAAAAGGTTTCCACCAAGTGAGAAAACTCCAAGCACAGAAGGGAAGGTCCTCCCCACACTGAATGTGCTGTGCGCAGTGGCACAGCCCAGCAGAGCAAGTGGGCCGGGAAAGCCAGCCGTCTTTCAGACAAAAGTGTAAAAAAGCAGCAGGAGGAGAAAAATGGAAAGACAAGGTCAAGTTAGAGGGAGGCAAGCTCCAGACAAGCCCTCCCTTCCCCAGAGGAAAGCACCTCAACAGACACTGCTGTGGAGTCGGCAATGCAGAAGATACTACTCAGCAGGGGAACACGTAAAATACAAAGCCTTGTTTACATGCTCCCCCAAGTTCTTTAACTGTTGCTGAGAATTTTAGGAATACTTTACATTGGACTTGTTTTATTGCACGTTTCCCACCAATTTCCAGTTCCAGTTTCTACTTCTATTCTTAATTTTTAGTCACCACTGGGACAAAACAGTAACATTTAGATACTGCCTTGCTAAGAAAACTGGAGTAACTGGGAGTTATATTAACAATACTTAAATACAGTCTATTTAAAGGTTTCAATGCATCTTGTTAGAACACTGCATAAATTAACCCAACCTAATTCTCTAGGATGTAACAAGATCTGAAAAGCTCCAAGTTTCATGTTCTCTCTTACCACCCACTTAAAAAACCAAAACCAACATGCTGGGGGTTAGCTTAGGTTGCAAACGAAAACAAAATTCACATTTAACTGAATAAATGCAATTTACTCCTTGATGCAACAAAGGTGATGCCACAACCAGCTCAAAACCAAAGCAAGAAGAGGTTCTCTCCCGCACCCTCCATGCATATCCCCCCTCATTTTTGCTGTTAGTGATGCCCCCGCAGCCTGTCTGCTCAGGATTCTTAACCATTTGCTCCATCCCTCCCCACTGTCTGAAACCATGCCTGGATGGAGCAAAGAGTGCCCTGTTGCTGCTGGGCTCGCAGTCTCCACCACACTGCTTGCACTGGCGGCCAGACAAAGCAAACTCCAGTTGCATCACGGAGCAAACTCATTTTCCAGCATCCTCCCAGCCCGGAGTTTACCGCTACTGTAATCCGGTGCTGTCAACAACGCCGCCTTTGTTGCGCGCCCATGTGTGCCGCTCGCTTGCTGGTCGGGTTGTTGTTTTGAGTGTTTTATGGTTATTTTTTTATTATTATTATTTATTTTAAGGAGAATTTTTGTTTTAAATGAGTAATCTGTTTTCGAAAGATTTCTCCTCCGTGCTGGCTCCACCCTGTACTGTAAACGAGACATTACCTTATACAAGAATGAATCTGCTGCATTCCTCTGTCTAGCTGCCTCGCAGCACATTTCCTACGCTCACAGCAGCCCCGGCAGTGCATGCTCTCCCACCCCTTCCCCCCCACCTTTTTCTTTTTTCTTTCCCCTTTTTTTTTTTTTCCTTTTCACTGCCTCGCTGTGTTTTTGTGTAAATGATCTCACATGACTCAACAAATCCATCTGCCTGGAGCAGGCCAAGTTTGGAGCCTTCCCAGGAGGGAGGAGAAGAATTGCTTTGTGGAAAGGACCTGGAGCTTTGCCCTTTCTCTGGCTCAAATTACCCGCCTGTCAGGCCTGACGGATTTGGCTAAAAATAAAAGGAAGCGGGCCGTGAAAAGGAGATGAATGAGCTCAGCAGTTCCTTAGATAACATGGGGTCTGGTGTCGCCCAAAGATCCCAGAGCAGGAACTTCGAATGCCGGACATGTAAGTGTGGTGCTGCAGCCTCAGTGAACTCAGCTGCTTGAGAACCAAAAAAAAAAAAAAAAAAAAAAAAAAAAA